TTCACTCCAGTGATGTCTTAATTGCCTTGAGATGATTAGCATATTAAGCACACCTTTGGTTTAATAATTAACTCCCTGTTGGGCTGATCACAGCACTTCTTGTCTTCTGAGAAGTGTCCAATGAAATCATTTCACATGCAGATTGGAAATGACTTGAACTTAACAATCACATCCATAAATGATCTGTGACAATAAATGAAGCCTCTCCCGTTTGGTTGAGAATGGGTAATTTGATTCCACAGTCTGCTTAAAACACTTACATTTGGTCTTCCTGCTCAACAACTAGAACACTAACACTTTCCTCAGTTGAAAGCACGCTCTGCTGTTAGATTAAGGTGTTAAAAAGAGGAACGCACAGCGAGGAGATAAGTTTCACTTCCAATTTAACCACAAAGAAATGATAACAGACACTAGGGGGTGCTAAAAGCAATCAAAATAGCTAAGTGTGCCTTTAAGGTAAAGTTAAAGTCCCATTAATTCATCCCACACTGGTGAAATTTATCTCTGCATTTAACCCATCCCCATGGGGAGCGGTGAGCTGCGGCAGCTGCACTCGGGAACTATTTGGTGGTTTAACCCCAGTCCAACCCCTTAAAGCTGAGTGTCAAGCAGTGGGTCCCATTTTTAAAGTCTTTGGTATGACCCGACCGGGATTTAAATCCCGATCTCCCAGTCTCAGGGCAGACACTCCACCACTAGGCCACTGAGAAGGTAAAGTATGCAGAAACAAATATAAAGTAATCTTGTTTATAAAACATGTTTTATTAGAGTCAGTTTTGCATAAATTGTCTTATACTCAATGATGCTTGCAATATAAGCGGGTCATTAGTGATATCACTAGCTTTCAGGCAAAACTACTGACAGGACAAGACACAAATGAAAGGCACCCAGCATTAACTTCTGCCTCAAAGCCACGGTGTCGGTACAAGATCGGCTCGGGGTCCTTCGACTGCTGATGACTGCACATTACTTCAAATCTACTCGGCTTTCACACATACGTTTTGGAAAGACATCAGCGGTTTTGTTAATAAATTCTTGTTTGTTAACACCTAAATGTTTTCTTTATAATTGTAATTTGTTAATAAAACACCATATTATCTTTGTTTTGTAAAGAATGTGAAACTGCATAAAACAAACATCGGACTGACAAAAAAACAGAACAGTTCTTATATGTGAAGCCACATCTGTTTGTATTAATGTGGAGTTCATCTCTATATTTCCTTACTTGTTATCTAAATACATTATTTGACTCAAAATATTGCTTGGTGTTTTTCAATAAATTTCTTATATTTTATTTTGCCCCATTTCATCAACATCAAGAGCTTCTGAGGGTCACCGTTTATCATTTGCTTATATTTTACATTTCCTTTAGAAATTCAAACATATTTTCTCCAAAAAGTGTTGATTTTTGGACTACAGGACTACAACCGCAAATTTGTTCTGACCAATCAAAATCATAACGTGATAACGTAACTTCCGTAAGCTTCATGTTCAGCCAATCAGCTACTTTGACGTCATCGGCAGTCGAAGGACCCCGAGCCGATCCTGTACCGACACCGGCAATGCGATCATCAACATCATCCCCACATTTTTATTTGATAACTCAAAAAGACTAAATGCCAAGTGCAGAAATGACTCATACACCCTCTTAATTCCTGCTTTTATTGGGACCTCTAATATATGTCATCTTCATAAAATCAAAAAAAAAAAAAATGCCACAGGAAAGAGTCTGACACTTTGGTCTTTTTTGGGCCCTCAGCTTGTGTTTCTCTGCCCAGTCGCCTTGATGAAGTACCTCTCCCACCAGGTCATTAAGACAGCCCTGGGAAAATTATGTTTAATGTTCTCGCTGGTGAATTCATAAATCATTTTTTTCCTCTTTGGCTTTTTTTTTTTTGCATGCACACCTGGCCCATTTATTACAGCTTAAATGCAAAACACTGCCAGCTTTCACGAGGGCAGCGAGACACTCCTGTGAACTGAGATAATTCACTTAGAACATGTAAATCTCACAAATCCCTCCACAAATGTATAAATGTCTTGTCTCAATGTTTGAGTTTGTGTTCTTTAATCCCTCGCTGCAAACTCAACCATCTTTCCTCTCCATGTATTGTTTCCTCTCTTAGCTTACTTTGTATATAATGTTTATGTTGCTTTATATAATTTCATGTCTGTGTTCTTTTTTTTTCATAATCAGCTATCAGGATTATGAACCCAAGATCAAGTAAGGCGATTTTAAAAACAGCCCCTTTCACCAAACCCTCCAAAAATGCCCTTCTCATTTCCACCTCCGTGTGAACAAATCGAGACCCAAATCCATCTGGTTTCCTCTCCGAGTCATTAACGTGATTAATAGTCGGGCACTCAGTCATGTTGAAGGCTGCATTATTAGACTCACAGCACTTCCAGCCTTAGATATGCATAACCTACAGATGTGACAAGCAAGATAATGTTTAAATCCCACCTGTATCTGCAAAAGTTGGTTACGTTAATGTAGATCTTTATCTTACATTTGTCAAAATTAGGATTCAAGTGATGGATAAAAAAATCCCAGTTTAAATTCTTTTTTATCTGTAAATCTGTGGCAGGGGTGAGGACCACCTCACCCCTGCCACATGGACCTCAATGGATAAACCATCAACCCTGCTCAATAGTCAACTTTCCTCGTGGGGTCACACCCATTAGGACAGTGGGAGGGTTAAGATAAAAACATTTCAAAAGTTTTGAAGAAGGTCTCTGAACTCATTTAAGAACCTTGAATACCATGAGAAACAAGCATGAACCCAAGCAATTTTCCATTATTAATTGATAATTTTGCACAGTTTTGTTGTTTCTTTAAAAGTTTGGATTACTTGTTTAATTAATACATTTGCTGTGGTCTCTAGTAGAAATGAATGCCTTGCAGGCACAATTCAGGGCACAAAAAACCCACAGACCCCTGGTGACATCAGAACTGTGCTTGAAACAGGAGGATTTCCTGATATTTAGACATTTTGCTTCAGATTGGATAAAAGCAACGTAACCCTACCACTAACTCCCAGGACATGGATGTTTTATCTCCACCAAACACAAGCCTGGGGGAGCTTCTGCCGTGTGAGGGAGTTGCTAATGATAGCGGTTAGCTTCTGTTGACAGATGTTTTCTGGACGCTAAAACAACAACAGCTTTCCCCATCACGAGTCAATATGGTTAAGTTCAATTCAGTGTGACGTAAATATGTCAGGATTTTCTAATCCCAGAGTTTCACCATCTATTTTTTATCAGAAGTTAATGCAAGAGATAGGTGTAGGAGACTATTTTCATGTTCAGTCTGCATTAAAAACCAATTTTAATCAAAAATGATAAAAACCAGAAATAAACATTAAAAATGTTTCTTTTCTTCAGTCTGCCGCATTGTTAATAAACTATTGTGTGTTCTCTGCGGAAGAGGCGAATCCCAATTAGTTTAGTAAAAACCAAAAATGCACATGCTCACACACACACACACACACACACACACACACACAATGTTTGCTCTCAGGAGGGTACATTTTTTCAGGTGTTGGATGGAAAATTTTTCAAAAATATTTCAAAGACAAATTTCAAAAAAACTTTTAGAAATAATTATTGATTAGAGGCAGTTTTATTAAAACTCTGGTACTTTGAAAGCACATTATGTAACAAAATTCAAGGATCAAAGGCCAAGTTTTTCTTAAACTAGCTAATCCAACTAACTTTATTATTCCTTAAAGCTCCAGACAAGAAAACATAACGTTCGTACCTCCTCAGAATGGATGTGCATTGATTTGATCTGCAGAAAGCAAAGGTTTTGTATGTGCAAAATGCTACAGATGACAGAGTCTGACATGAATCAGATATTAATCTCAACTCTGCCTCACCTACTGCGGCACACAATGTGTCACCAAAATGCCAGAAGAGGTGAAGAAAAAAATGCCACTCATCTTCACGTTGCACCAGCACAGAGAGCTCTTCATTATCAAGAGACTGTGTATTCTCAAGGACATTTATCTCAGTTAAATCCTCAGTAAGACACTTATCTAAAAGCCCCAGGCAATAAGAGTCCAACATGTGATACACTCTGATTTTCTTCAGCAGAGAATACTGTGTTTGTGGGGCTTTAAAGCATACAACCTTTGCTGTGGAACACAACTTTTACTTGATCATCGTGGGTTTGTTTGAAAGTGTAAAAGAAAGAAAGAAGACCCAAAACCGCTAAAAGATTTATTCTGTTGTCCTCTTCCATACATTTTCCCACTTTTCATTTGTTCTGTTGAGAATCATCATCCCATTACAAGACAAATGAGGTCACAATAGTCTTTTTCTATGGAAGTGTGTCACTGCCACTCCAACAAGAATCAAACTGAAGCAAAGGGTATTATCACATTAATAATTTTCGTGAAACCAAAAATTTTATAATTTTTCATCTTTCTAAAAAATTGATATTTACATTGTCACAAAATATTTGCACACAAAAATATATAATAATATACTATAATATAAAATATTTACTTTATAACAGTTTACACAGGGCTTTAAAAGGGACTTCTACCTATCAGGAATTTTTTTTGAGCTTACTGGTAGTACTGGAACCTTTTCTCGCCCTCCAGTTAAAAAAATCAATTAAACTCCCAGCCAACCCCCCTGCCCCAATGGAGAATGGACGGGTGGTTTCTAAGCACCACCCCCACCCCCAGGCAGGTTCAAGAAGACCAACAACCAATGAAAGCATAAACGTTATGTTGCCTACATTTCATTTAGGAGGAAAATAAACTCCCGTCTGCCTTAAGGATTTTGTTTTCAATTCAATTCACAAACACAATTTGTGTTGATCTTAACCAGAGTACCTCTCAGAGATCAATAAAGATCTGTTCACACACACACCAGTTGTGGTTTCCATTTATTATATAGAAACACTCTTTAATCAGTAGAAAAACTTCACAAAACCTTTATGGAATTGATTTGAATATATTTTAATGTTCTTTTGTTGTTTGGTCTGCAAGTATGCGATTGCTACACTCCTCTGACCCATTGGTCAGACTGTCTGCAAAATGTTCCTGTGTAAAAATACTCTCTCAAACACCTACATACATAAAGTGCTAAAAGGTCAGCCACAGGACGAGCTGTCAAACACATTGTTCAGTACCTTAAAAATAATCCAGGTTCAGTCTCCTTTAATGGTTTGACAGATCCCGGACAAGCCCCTATTTATATTACGAGACAGCTTGTGGAACCACCATATAAAATGGAAACGTCGGTTTTTGAGAGTGTTATAAATCTAGTTTTGGATTGAGAGACAGTATAAACATTCAAGTTATTTTAAATATCTCTCAATATCTTAGACAACAATTATTCCCACTGGGACATCTCTATTCAACAGAATGTGAAGCAAATGTCACTTAATAATCTGAAAAGATTCAACTACATTTTTGCTGGGGTGGCTTCAAAGTTGTTACATTAATATTTTCAAGTCTTTGAAATAAAAATAATTTGGATTTAAACTGAAATTGCTGAGTGAAAATAGTGTTTCTTCAAATTCTTTCAACAAAAAACAAAACTTAAATATCAGCTGGTAAATGAGCCATGTTTTTGCCATTTCAGATCATGGGTGATTGGAGCCATCGCTTTGCTTTGCCTCCTCGGCTTGACCTGGGCCTTTGGGTTGATGTACGTCAACGAGAGCACGGTGGTGATGGCCTACCTCTTTACCATCTTCAACTCCCTGCAGGGCATGTTCATCTTCATCTTCCACTGTGTGCTGCAAAAGAAGGTGATAACAACCCCCCCCCACCCCCACCCCCCACACACAAAGGAATTTCACAACTAAACAAGCATATATTTTAATGGTACCTTTATTTTTTTATTTATATTTTTTGTAGGTGCGAAAGGAGTATGGGAAGTGTTTTCGCACGCACTGCTGCAGTGGGAAGAGTGTGGACAGCTCCATTGGCTCGGTGAAGGGCACCGCTTCCCGAGCCCCGGGACGCTATTCTTCAGGGTCACAGGTTGAAAATATTTCATTCTTTTTGGTTTTGATCTGATACATCTTTACTCAAGGATGAATGTTTTACTGCTAAATCTAAAAACTGATGCATACTAAGACTTCAAGAAGAAGCACCTTAAACTCTGAGGAAAATCAGCCAATAGGTGCATTTTTGGCTTGTATAAAAACTTACCTCCAGCTTTGTGAAGATATTCCAGACATTTCTGTCTAAGAGTGCTTTGTTTCTTAGCAAAGTAAATTGTTAGATTCATCCCACATTAACATGTACTATATAATGAATTACCATGATACGCGATAATTGAACATCACATCCCACTGAGCGTGATTTCCTCCCAGTAAATAGTCCTCGGAATGTTGAGTGTGCACCGTCATCCCACGATCCAAGCTGGATTCTGCATACAGATTATAGCGTTTAATTATCCACAGCGATTTGACGTAAAAGGCTCTAACCTAATCTGTGGCTGCTGTATACAAGCAAGACGTGAAGAGGAACACATGGAAGGATGGGCAGCGCTAAAACTTTTAATGTGTTTAATGTGAAATCAGCTAATTTTAGCCTTTAAATTTGCACTGAAAAAAAAGCATAATTTACAACCCGTGTGTGTGTGTCCCAAGAACTGTAGTGAACACGGTGTGTAAGATGTTAATGAGATTCACAGTGTCATAGCTGTTCCTGTCAGAATATATGAGCCAAGTGTTGTTTAAGTTGTGAAAACATTTGGTGCTTTTATTAAAGGAGAAACCTGGTCTAAATGTGAAATGAAAAAAAAAGTCACAAAAGTTGACATGAAGGTGACGGAAGTGACAGACTTCATTAGGTTGACTCTTAGTCGCTGAAATTTGACACTTTAAAAGCAGACTGTCACTTTCAGACTCTACTGATATTGCTAGGGTTTAATTTAGCTTAATTTTTTGGCAATAAGGTGATAAAATGAGATAATATCAGGGTTACGTCCAGACTGTTAAAGGATCCTTTTAATCCATTGCATAATTAGACAGCAATGATCATCAGTTTTGTTTAATTGGCTTTAAAGATCAGGGAGACGGTGGCAAGGGAGTTACGTACCCATCCCGTAACCGGGTGCAGGTTCGAGCCCTGCTCAGTCGTTGTGTCCTTGGGCAAGATGCTCCACCCTCGTTGCTGGTGGTGTTTGTCAGCCAGATGAGACTAAATTGCAGTTTATAACCACCAGGGTGTGAATGGGTGAAAGACTGGGGAGCTGTATGCACTAAAAGTAGGGCATATGCCATCTGAAAACGTACAAACAAGACTGTAATAGAAAATCAATGATAACCAGTTTCTCATTGGGCCACATTCTGTTTCCAACTAGTTTAGAATAGCATTAATGAAGGGGTTTCTAAAATGTCTCAAACCATTTGCAAAGGTTCTCAAGATTTATGTAAATCCCAGGACATTGCAAAGCTTTTTTTCTCCCAACTAATCAAATATTAAATCAGAAACCAGATTGATTTTGTCTCATTTTAGTTTCTGTGGCTCAGAAAGTGAGAGAATTTTTAGACGACGTTGGGAGAGGTTTAGTGACCAAACTACGATGAGATTTAGGACAAATAGTGAACAAATATTGTCCCACTGACTGAATTATGATAAGAAAATGTGCACTAGTTTTTTTTTTACAGTCACTTCATATTCCTCACATTACTTGGTCTTTTATAGAAACAAAGTGTTGTGTGTTCAAGTTTAAGGATAATGGACTGAAATTTTTATCAACATTAATAAAATATGAAATTCGTAGGAATAATGAATCCAGGAAATTCAAAAGCACTTCAGACCCTTTGCTTTGGCTCTACAAATACTTTGTCCTTAACATTAAAATAATGCTTGTTTATTTTATTGCCAATGAAATTATTGTGGGAGTTTTCAGTTGAAAAATATGATACCCCATAAGAATAAGCTTAAATTAGACAATTTTGGCTCTCTTGGCACATATTTTGGACACCCCTGGATTACATTGTTCCAGCAAAATGAATATTGTATTTCTGGTGGAAGTACTACCCTGGACAACGTCGAAATACTCAACTAAAAAGGATTCGTATTTGCCTAAACTACTAAGTGGTTACTCAGCTGAAAGAAAGATATTAATTGTTCATAATGATTATACTGAACCCCACTTCAAAAGGTCATCACTTTAGAGGGAATCCATAATGCATAAGCAATCTGTGTTGCTTTAAGTAGGGGAAGCCTGGTTGGGTCATCAAATTGAACAAGCTTTATTTAATTAAAAGATTGCGGCTGACCTGTATTGATTGGATAGATTTATGGGGCTTGGACCATGTAATCCTCATATATAGAAAAACACCTCCGAGGGAGGAATAGTTAGACTCCTTACTGTAACAAGCACATGTGGGGGTTTGCTTCAGCTTCACTTACCTTTTATAAATTCATCTGGTTCAATCTGAAACCCTCAGCTGTGCCGATGTGCTCGATAAAGATACAGCTCCATAGATGGATGTCCAGACTGTTAGCTTGTGCAATGGCCCGTGGGACTTTGTCATAATTAACCAGGATGGACCCTCTCGAATGGAGCTTTTAAAACTCAGGACACTGATTCAGACAGCTTGACTGATGACTTTATTATTGACTTCACCTATCTAAGAACTAAAGCTCATCATTAATTGGTTCATCCCCAATACTAATGCGTTTCAAGACCTAGTTTTGAAATAGAGTTACATAATAGGCAAAGATATGTTAGCAAAACCATGTTTAATAAATATATTCCTCTCTTTTGCTGTCAGCGGACAATACATGGATCAACGTAGATGGAGGCCTTTCTGATGTATTCTTGGCGTGTCTTCTTGTCTCCGCAGAGCCGAATCCGTCGGATGTGGAACGACACAGTCAGAAAACAGTCAGAGTCCTCTTTCATGACTGGCGACATCAACAGCTCTGCGTCACTCAACAGAGGTAACTGAGTTCTGTGGGGAGAAGCCGCCATCTTTAATGGCTCCTCATTATACCGCCCTTCACCTCACACTCTGAAAAATGTCAGGAATATTCAAAGTGCAATTTTCTTTAATTGACAGTGTAATTACACTGCTCTTAATGTGACACGGAGTTTTTACTGGATTCAAAGCATTGCATATTTTAATATGTCAAGCTTTCAAACAAAACCACTTCAAGCCAAGGCATCAGTCAGATCGTCATGAATACTTGGAATACTTAAGGCTCTTTGCTAATTGAGTCGTTCTGATTAAAGACATACTCTGCAAATTTTTCCTATTTTTAAATCATTTTCTTGAGTCTGTGTTTGCCAAAATGACCCTTTACAGTGTTAATAAAATGTCACTCAGACCCACACCCATCCCTGTGTCTAGAGTACCACACTTGCAACTTCAGAGTGGCGGGCCTCCACCTGTTAAGTTTAGTAATAATGAAGCTGGCGCTGCAATCTGGTTCCAGCACATTTCCTGCATGTTTTAGATTATGAACACAGCTAATTAGTTCTATTTAGTGATGAATAACTCCTGTAGACACTAATGAAGGCTGGGGAGATGTTTTAGCTGTTAGATTAAGGTGTTAGAAAGACGAACGCACAGCGAGGAGATACGTTTCACTTTTCGTTCTACTAAATGGACACTAGGGGGTGCTAAAAGCGGCCAAAATTGCAAAGTAAATGTGTAAGTATTTTTAAAGCTACCAAATCAAAATTAAGAATATAGAAAATATATTTATATGAAGACAAGTTCCCTTAATTTTGTCCTTGTATGAAAGAAAACGTGTGCAATAGACACGACTTAGGGACACGTCTTCTTAAGCAGAGCAGATTACCAGTATGATCATATCCTATGCGCAAAGCGAAGGTTGGGCTCCCCACAGACGCCTCTCTCACCGGTTTCCTGCCCGACAGGTAAGCTAAAGTTCAGCTTACTATTTGGAGAAATTTATTTCAGAGTACTGGTAGAAGAAGAAGTCGGCTGAAAGGCCGGCAGCTACTTGTAACGAGGATCACTGGGCGTTCTTTCTCATGTGCATTTTTTTTTTCCAAAACGAGGAGCGGGCGGTTCTCTCCTGAAATTCAGAAACATCCTCCGCTATACCTTTAATAAAACACTAAAACCAAAAATCACACGTCCAGTTAAGGATTAGGGCTTAAAATATTCCAGACGAGCCCCCATATGGTACCAGCCAGGTGTCTAGGGGACCTGGGTGGTAACAAGGAGGATGCGTGACACAGGCAAATCAATAGGAAAGTAGCAATTATTCAACACCAAATGTGTAGTGGTATTTTGACACACTTCTACTGCACCAAAATGCACATTTCTATCAAAAGTTGCAATAATTCTTTACTAAGTTCCAAGACACGTAGGACCACAAAGAGATGTCCCCTCCAGCACATCTTATAGTTTCCCAGCAGGGTTAAAGTCTGGTCTCTCTGGTTGCCAATCCATGTGTGAAAATAATCTCATGCTTCCTGAACTACTCGTTTGCTTTTGGAGCCTGATGAAACCTGGCATTGTCATCTTAGAATATGCCTGTGCCATCAGAGAGGAAATAAAGTCAGCTGACCTTTTTTATTTCTTCCTTTCGACTGTTCTGGTTTTGAAGGGGAACCTAATATGACTGAATGTAGTCCTGACCAGCTGAATTAACCTCCGATCAAATCACTTCCTCCACAGGATCGGACGGATGCATCACTTCATCTTCGGCTCCTCATAGCCTGATGCACTCATCGCTCTGAATAGTCCAAACTTAAACTCACGAGACATGACTTCTTCATACTCTTTGACCCAGAGTACACCTTGTTGTTCCCTATTCAGCTATATAGTTTCTTTTAATACTTTAGCCGTTTCCTGATCAGAAAACCCTCTCACTGCCAGCATTTTTGAGTGTTTTTACTGTTTTTGGAAGAGTTGCAGAACATTGTGCTCTATGATCATGTAACTGCCAAAACCACCAAAACAAAGCGGAGACTTACCTCTTACATCAGGAAGAATCCGCGCGTTTCTAGCATTATCCGTTCTTTCATAATCCGTTGTCGAACTGTGATCGGCAGAAGTTTTTCCGGTTCACGCCTCACTTTTTTTTACAGCAGCAGCCCAAAACGATCTCCTAACACATGGATTTTCTGCTTCATGATCACGTGACGTGTGACGGATGAAGATCGGCTTAGAGCTGGGATGTTTACAGCAACGTTCCACCTCCTTGCTGCTCTGAGAACTTTCTTCAGTAGATTTTTCCAAACAGAGATACTCTAGGGCTGAATTATCGTCCCAGTCCGGCTCTTCCCAAAGTTGCCTCCTAACTACCGTACAATTTTATTTGTATAGCAGTTTCAGACACAGCAGAATTGTAGACAGTGCTAAACAGTGGCAGAATGTAAAATGCAACCAAGTCAGTTGACCATGTTTGAAAACCTGGATTTATGATCAGACCAGTCCCAACGTACTTCCGAGTGGACCAGATTGCTCGTAAGACACCGCACAAGGTAGGATTATCTTTAAAACCATTACAGTAATAGTGTGCATCCTTACAATTGCTGCAAAAGGAGGAGCACTTGAAAAATCAGCTTGATTATCCTGCCATGTGAACTGGGCTTAAGAAGCTGCTATCTGCATCAAGTGGGGTCAAAATCAGCTTTATTTCTGCCAGGTGCTAAATATTGTAATCCTAATACTCTGAAATTCTTAGAATAAGTTTCTGTAAACCAACAATATTCAAATGCTTTAGCTTTCAGAAAAAAAGAAAAATAAACGTTTAATCAGAACACGGCAGCAGTCAGCAAGGAAACGTTAAACCTTCTCAGCTTCTACAGAATCCGACTCCATGTTGCCGTTGTTGCTGGCAGCCTCTCCAACACACTCGGCAGCCATCACATCTCCTGATTAAGAGCTCCAGCTCCGCGCTGCTCGCTCTCTCAATTCACTCCGGGCTCTCTGCTCGCAAAGACACTAATGCATAGTTACAATGATGGATTAATGTTCGACACAGTGAGGAAGTGTCATGATCTCTGTAATTAGGCGCTCAGCTTAGCACCACCAACAGCTTTTATACACTGTGCAGAGGCTGAATTAAGGGTGTGTGTGTGTGTGCGCGCGCACATATGCACGTACATGCATGTGTGCAGGTTGGGGGGGTTGGAGGTCAGGAGTTGGAAGAAAAGCCTTACATGGATGTTCCATAAAGGCAAAAGGCAAGAAGTAGAAATTAGTAATGCACCTTTTATACCCCTGGCTACTTAGCAGGGTAGAACTCAAAAAAGTGCATGCTGGGAAGTGTGCTCTGCCATCACATGTATCATAAGGAACAGATGCAAGTAGAATTGCACTCATCCTTGGCTTTTCCTGTGTGGTTATTAAGGAATTATGTGCTGAGGAGCAAATATTTCTTGCTGATTTGTCCTTTGCAGTCTTAGCACCCAACCTCCTCCACCACCCGCTAGAATATGAGAGAACGAGCGTGCAGCTGACGCTTCTCGAGTCATGCAATCATCCTGATAGCATTGCACCTTCAATTTATCCCAGCATTCAGTATCATTGCTGCACAATCAGCGCGATTCTTTAGAAAATTGCCCAATTTCAACATAGACACAATAAGCGGTGGAGTGTGGGGGTGTGGTGGGGGGTCTGTCGTGAGAATTCAATAAATAAATAAATAAGAAGGGGGCTGGTTGTTTATGAAATACTCTGTAATTAGGGCAAGCGGCACCAGCACCAACAAATTAATGTTATTTATTTCTTTTGCCAATCAAAACAGTGCTCTGTTTTCCAAGCAAAATAATACCATGTCTAATTAATACCGAGCTCATACTAGACTAAAAAACAAAACAAAGTGGAGGAATAATGTTAAAAGATTAGACTGAATTTGCACAGAGGACTGTCAACAAAACAAAGTGCCACTGCAATTAAGAAACCATCGTAAAGTAAACTAGCAACTTCCAAAATCCCTCACAAAATAAGGTGGATGAAGGAGTTTCAGGCTGAAATAAACCCTTTCCCCGATGACATGACACATTCAGAGCATGAGAAGAGAGCACTCTACATGAGGATCTAATTGCTGTGTACTTGCGCTTCAGATAAAATATGTGTACTGGTAGGGCTGAAGCGAAGCATCGATGATGTCGACGGCTCGATTCTAAAAATTCGTCGACGTCAGATCCGGTAGTCGACGCACCGCGCCCACTTGTTGCATCCCCAGGAGTTTGTAAATAGAGGAATCTGCCTGTTTTTCCTCTCGTTCACCCTCTTCTCAGTCTTCACCAACATCTCCACCAAATACCGAAGATCCGGAACAATGTCCGTCCGCTACTAGATTCCTTTCCTGTTTTGCCCGCCTTCGTCTCCCGGCAACGGACAACAACTTCCGCAGATGTAGAAAATCACCGGGAGCATTTCTCCCTTCATAAAGGAGCTTCCTTCAGACATTAGGAGAGCTGTTTTTTTGGTAGCAGTCTCTCCTCGGTGCTGGTCTGTTTGCTGCTGGGTGTTTTTGGTTTATTTAAATGATGATGATAAATGATAAATGACCCACACTTGTATAGTGCCTCTCAGAGTAAGGACTCCAAAGTGCTTTACACTACAGTGTGTCATTCATCCATTCACACACACATTCACACACTGATGGTGATGAGCTACGATGTAGCCACAGCTGCCCTGGGGCGCACTGACAGAGGCGAGGCTGCCGAGCACAGCCGCCACCCTCCGACCACCACCAGCAGGCAAGGTGGATTAAGTGTCTTGCCCAAGGACACAACAGCAGAAATCTCTGTCCGGAGCCAGGATCGAACCTGCAACCTTCCGATTACTGGACAACCCGCTCAACCTGTTGAGCTACTGCTGCCCCAAACTTGGTAACTTGAATTTAACGTTGGTAAAGCTACTGTTAGCATTTTCGCTTACAGCTTCTTGTGTTTGGTACGTTTTGGTTTAGAGTTCATCTTTTTTGTGGTGCAGATCTCCCTTTTATTACATTTAGAGTGTTGTGGGTTTTCGGTTTAGTTTAAAATATCACCTTGAGTTTGGTTTAACCACCCAGTTTAGAGTTTGGACCTTTGGAGATTCTTATTTTGGTCCAGAACCCAGTAATCTTTGCCCAGTGGGACATCCCTAGTTATTTGTACTTTTGTTTTAATTCCCCACAGGCAGAATTAGTTTTATTATTCCCAACCTGTGGATGGAAAGATTTATGTTTTTTTGTAGTTGTATATAAACCTGATCATCATTTTAACTTTTAAATCCCGTGTTATTGTCCCTTACTTTTTGCACACGAGCCAAACTCCCCAGGAAGAGTCGTAACACCACTTGCCTCATGCACATAAGTGACCAAAACAAAGCAGCATGGAGACGTTCTGTCTCCAACTACCTCTCAGGCAGCAGCCTGCACTCCCAAATTCTACACGTCACCAGAACATAACCAACCAACACAATAAAAGCAGTGTTATACAAAATGGAAGGCCTGTAGTGTTTATTCTCTTATAGTAACAATTTAGAGATTTTTTTGAGGAATTTATTAGAGATTTTTTGGTTTTTATTAATTGTGCAATAGAAAAATAAACACTAGATTAATTGTCTAAATAGTCATTAGAGTAGTTGACTATTCGATAAAATAATCGTCAGAATAACCGTTTTAAAAATAACCGTTTACCCCAACCCTATTTACCGGCTTTTGTACGACGTACGTCACAAGAACACGCACACATTTGGCTTCTTCTTTGAAAATAATACTGTTGCCTCGTGTTGACGGGAGGAAGGGGGTAAATCTTGTAAACAGGAAGTGAATGCAGCCCCCAAATATTTTCTCCATACTCCTTCATAATGCATTCAAGCTCTTGAAAATAAATTAAATTTTGTACAAAGTACAAATAAACAAAACATTCATATTTAAGTCCACAGCCCTTAAATTTGCAGCTTATCAGCCGGCTCAGACTGTGAAGACTGTTTTCTGAGCGCAGGAAACCGATGAGTCACTCGGGCGAGATTCTGGCGGTGTGGATCTCGAGCAGCGTTGCATAAATAGAAGATGAGCCTGCATTTCTGTTAGTACGAAGGAGGCAAGGGTGAAGCAGAAGTAATGATGGGCTTGACTAAAGAGAGGACATCACTTCATTCAAAGGTTATTTCAGCTACTGAGAGAAGAGAACGAGCAAATGCTGATCTTTGCTCTGTGGAGAGAAGGAAATATCACACTGCTTCTGCTCCCAAGATTGGTACTGCCAGAAGGAATAATAATAATAACAATAATAAGAAGAAGAAGAAGAAGAAGAAGAAGAATGGTGCAGCCCTCACCGTCCCTAAGGCACGTTTGAAGACCCGCATGGGAAAGGACTTGTTCTATCTGTGCCCCCAAACTCTGGAACTCACTGCCTCTTCAGGTCAGGCAAGCTACTTCTACTTCTCTACTACTCCACTACTTCTCCCTGGCCTTCAACTCCTAAACCATAAAGAATTCACTCATACTTTGTCACCTTTCTTTCCACCTTGGTTGTTCAATTTAAAATCTGTGGATTAGCATTTTGTGGTTTTATTTTGTTGTTCTTTTTAATTCTTTTTCTGTCATTTGACTATTTTGCCTGTGTTGTTTTATCATGTACAGTGCTTTGGTCAGTTGGAATGCCGTGTTAAAAGCACTCTAGAAATAAAGTGGTGTGGTAAAATTGCTGTAGAAGGTTTTTCTTTTAAAGGAATCAAAACAAAATATGAAATATTATATGAGACAAATTTCAATAAAATTGTTTTATTTCAAAGTATTTTCAATAAAAATAAAACTATTTGGAAACCTATAGTTGTCATTTTCTGTGAAGATTTAGGAGGAAGAGTTGCTGAATTTTCAGCTTTAAGAGTCAAGTTTAACTTTTAGTTTAAATATTGTTGAAATATTACATTTGTTGACAAAAATTTCAATAATAATTTAAGTGCTGACATCTTTGAGCATTGAATGTTTAAAGTTGATCTAATTGTTTTGAATTGTATTGAAATTAAGAGACTACAGTGAAAATGTTGATGGTTAATGTACAAATTTTTAGATCATTCAATTAAATGCTGAGATTTTAGTGAAAAAGCAGAGATTATTGATTTTTGAAGTTTGAAAAAGCATTCACATTTTTAGATGATTAAATTTTTGACAAAATCTTGAAAATATCAAATTACTGAGCTTGCAATTTAAACGTAGATACTGTATTTGAATTGTTGAGATTATCATGTAAATGTTAAAATGTTCAGATAATTGTTGAAAGGTTGAGATTACTTTTTGAAATTTTAAGATCATAGTAAGGGGTGTAAGAAAATATCAATGTGCTAAAACATTGCAATGTTTCATTTTATGATAAGAAATCAATTAAAAGCAGTGTATAGATTTTTTTTTCTAATAAGAATTGACACAACAACATTTACTGTATTTCTTTTGTCTGTAATTCCAACTCTGACTGTTAGGTGGCAGCAGATTTTACTGCTTCATTCTGACAGAACAATGAGATCTCGCAAAATAACACTGAATGTGTCTTGGAAGTGAGATTTCCAATTATATTTAGTCTTAAAAATTGCAAAATAAAATGGTGTTTAGGATCACGATATATCGTGTGGTTTCCCCTGTATTACGACATATATCATATTGCCTTCCCGCATCAAGATATATTGTGTTGTCTCCCCTGTGCAGTGATATATATCATATCATATCCCTGTATCGTGAGAGTAATCGTGTCATATCCCTGTATCATGACATTAATCGTATCATATCCCTGTATTGAGATATATGTCGTAACATATCCCTTTATCGTGATATTAATCGTATCATATCCCTGTATTGTGAAATTAATCATATTGTATCATATCTCTGTATCATGATATTAATCATATCATATCCCTGTATTGGATATTAATCATATCGTATCATATCTCTGTATCGTGATATTAATCGTATCATATCTCCGTATCGTGATATTAATCGTATCATATCCCTGTATTGTGATATTAATCATATCATTTCCCTGTATCGCGATATTAATCGTATCATATCCCTTTATCGTGATATTAATCGTATCATATCCCTGTATTGTGATATATATCGTATAATTTCCCTGTATCGTGATATTAATCATATCATATCCCTGTATCGTGATATATATCGTATTGCAAAATTTTCGCCAATAAACAACCCTGGTCTACAAATTGTTAGATATTTTACTCAAACATTTTACTTTATTCTGGTAATATTATTTTGATTTTGACTTTAATCTCAATACTAGAAAATATTAAAAAAAAACATCTTTTTATTTTCACTTCTTAAAATACACGGTTGTGTCAACCTCAATATGCCTGTTAGATCTGCTCTCATCTACTGTTAGACGTGATCTATTATTACTGTTTGCCTTCTCAGAACATGAATCAAACACAAACACCTGTATGCTTTCAGTATGCCATATTGGTGTTTTTATGGATGTAGTTTATTTTTGCCGATGTGTAGTACAAAAACAAGCTAGGTAGCTGACATTAGCACTACAGCTAACCCACTTTTCATTGGCCCCATTAGCCCCGTCCGTTCAGCTCTGCCGCCTTCATGTAGCTCCACCACAGTAATGATCATGTGATCATTTGAATGTTAATGGCTGTCATTGCATCTGCCCTGCAGATATGTATGTTTTCTCAATTATATCTATGCATTTATCTCAATTTGTCTCTCTCTTTCTTTCTCACTCTGTCTGTCTCTCTCTCTCCCTCTCTCTCTGGCTGCTCCAGGGGCCATGGCTAACCATCTTATTCCTAATGCACTGCTCCGTCCTCATGGCACTAACAATCCCTATAACACATTGCTTGGAGAGTCTGCAGTTTATAACAACCCTCTGGGCATGTACAACACTCAAGGTGTGCTGGCTTCTCTTCATTCTTTAACATTGTGGCCAGAGCAGTGCTTATTTTCTCTTCTTTTGCAAAACATAATGAAATTTCTGTTTGGGAATATGGTTTAATTAAGAAAAGAAATAAAAATCACTGCTCTTAATGTATTTTGTCTCAAAGGCTTTATCATGAAACTCTTAGCTTTGTTTTGCTGTGCTTCCCTTGCTTTGGTGGTGTATCTTGGCTTTTAGTGAAATTATGTCACTCAGTTACATAAGTCTCACTCTGTCTTCCATGTTTGGCCAAGACAAACTGTAAAAATGAGGGAAAACCTTTTGAAGTGGAGATGGGGTGCCCCACAGAGAGCCGGATACATCACCAGTCATTTTTTTAAAATGTGCTCTTATGTTGTCGGTGAAGCTTGTGTGCCACATCTGCTGTCTCCTTCCATTGTTGAGCTTCAAATTTGTAATCTTGTCAAAAGAAACACAATCATAATTAAGATTTAGCTGAATTTTAAGGGGGTGTTTTACAAATCTCTTCACGTTGACCTGGACATTCTGAATCCGACTAATGCCACTTGACTCGTTCGAACTCTGCAGAGCTGTTATTATTTTATTCGGTTCAATTCAAAGATATTTTATTAATCCCAGAGGGAAATTCTCTCAGCACTCAATATGAGATTGCTGTAACTTTTGTGAGTCTGTAAAATGGGGAAAGTCGTGTTAAACTGGGATAAAAACTCACAGAGAGCTTTGATCAGTGGATAATTTATGTATGCGATACAAGCACTTGCTTCGGAGCTTGTGATGGAGGGCTATAATTCACTAACATCACCACAGATGGAAAAGAAATATCTGGAGGAATGAAAATGCTAATGCTTCAAAAGATTTATTGATGCACTTGACGCTCAAGGACCTTTGCCATGTTTTACCCCAAGGATTCTGCTGCGCATTACAGGCAAAACATCTTTTATATATTTGTCTAGAGATACGTCGAGGTTCTTTCTGCTGGCACGCAGATTTTCCTTTTCTTTTTAATGCTTGATGACGTTAAACAATTGCATTCCCCAAACATTTTCTCGATGCGTCATCAGCATTCTGTGTGTTTCTCTTTTTACCTGTCATTGTTATGCTTATTGTGTTTTCTTCTTTCCTTTTCTTCATGCTGTCCCATAAAGAGCCCTACAGAGAGACAAGTATGGGAGTCAAACTAAACATTGCTTATCAAATGTAATTCACTTTGGCTTTACCTTTTATTTTCACTTGATTCTGACCAAGGGGTAAAAACAAAAAGAAACATGGCTTAGTTTGGCCCCAAAAGATTTTTTCTGGTTCTAGTGCAGTGCTGTGAAAAAGTAACCAACCCCTGAGCTTAACAAATGGTCACAACACCCTTGGTGGCATTCAGTTGGCTTTGACGAATGGTATTGAGTTCTTCACAATGCTGTCAAGGATCGTTATCCCACTGTTCTTTACGATATTGTGTTAACTCAGCCACAGTGGAAGATTCTCCAGTGGGAATTGTTGTTTAAGGTCAAAGGTCAGAAATTCTCCTTCAGCAAAGTGACCCCAGACAATCACCACCATGTTTAAATATGGGTAGTATGTTTGGGATTAGGTTAAAGAGACATTGTGTAATTTTACCTTTAGTCTCTGGAAATATCAATCGAAATGTTGTTGAAAATAAAAAAAAATAACGTCTAGTCTTTGAAAAATATTTAGTAACATGTAACCATAAAAATCAGGTCTAAAGTCCATAGGGCGCGGGTCTAGCATCTTTGGGAGATACTATATTAGACACCATGTTTCCTTCTGGCGGGCTCGAGGTCCTGCACCTGTTGATATCACACTAGATGATTGGCTGGACATACGACTTACGGAAGTTACGTTACTATGTTTAAAAACTTTTAGGCAGTAACAAACATTAATTTAATAACAAAACTGCTAAACTCTTTCCAAAACAAATGAATTGAAAAAGAGATGCAATTAATTTTGGCCGAGTGGTACTGCCATAGTATGAGGACATCAACGGCAGACGCAGGTCCCCGAGCAGATCCAGAAACTATAGTACCAATTCCACAAGTAACATTTACCATAATGTGTGTGTAAGTTAGCGACAGCCAGGACGATATGGTGTAAAACTACCCTTGAATGTTTGAACTGCTTCATGAAGCGACACACTCCCCCATTTAAGGGTACCTTTGCCTCTATCTCTTTGCTTTTTGAGATCTTTTGGCCTACTTCATTTTGTCAGGGAGGTCTTATAGAAGACATTTCTTAACTCTAAAAAAATATTATTATCAGATCTGTTTGAGTATTGGCAGACTAAAGCCTAATTTATACTTCTCCATCAGCTCTGCGATGAAGAGACTCACACACATAGACAGCTGGGGATTGTTGCAAAACAATTCTCCACCAGGACAACAGAGGGCGTAGCACTATTCTGAGATATCCTGCCATTACAGTCATGTATCCGGTCCACGATAGTGTATTTATTATTGTGTTTACATTGTTTTGATGTATTTCGGAGACTTTTGAACACAGCTAATTTTGTCCCTCATTCCTCTCCACCTCTTCTTGTAATCGACACCTCTAAAACCACGTTTCTCGTCTTTTCCATCGACGAATAAAATCACTTACTGCATATCTTTGTACTCCTTCGGTCACGGGTGAATGAGCATTCATATTCTCATACTTTTTCCTGTAGGCGTTCTTCAATCTGTTCCATGTATGCCGCTAAATATCTTTTTATTTTTTGAAACGGAAAAGGCAAATTTACAGGAAGCTGCGCCCTGACCAATCACAAGCATGAGGTCTCCGTCTCTTTTGACGGACAGTTGAAAATTGGGCCATGTCTCCATCACCCTTTGCGAGCCAGTCGGAGAGCTCTTGCGTCAACGCATAAAGGCATTGCGTGTCTTCGTCTCGATGCAGACGGAGAAGTATAAGTTAGGCTTCAGGTCAGTTTTTCAAACAATATAGTTAATCCCTGTTAAATGAAGACATGACAAAAAGGGGGTTACATTTTCACATGCTGGTTTAGATTGCTGTCTTCCCTTGTCTTATACTGAATTGATTAACTGATGTGAAACATTTAAGCATGGCAAAAATGCAAAAGAAGAATAAACATGTAAGGGGGTGAATACCTTTTCACAGCACTATATGTTTTAGTTAAAAAGACCAGTTCAACGATCCCAACTTTTCAGATTTATTTTAGGGCACGCTCATTTAATGATTTGTTACTCTATCAGAGGTCCAGTTTAAATAAAAATATCTGATGTTTTATTTTTCTAATTCACGTTACACTTCTCCAAGGTCTGAGAAATGTTGCTCGTCAAAATTTCCAAGAGGTCAGAGTAAAAGCTTGACACTTTTAACAAGCTGGGTGGCCTTGTCGGGGGAAGTCTGGATCATCATCACATATGTTTTGCTTTGATGTTGATAGCATGCTTAACATGATGAAATGTGAAAGCTACATGTTAGTGCAACAGAGAGAACAGAAAGTCTTTCCTGTCTGAGGGATGCGATTCTCACAAATTTGAACTGATTCTGTTTTAAAGAGACAGCTAGTTGTGTTCACGTGGCTGAAGCTTTTAAAGCTAGGGCAGGACAAAAGTGCACTTGGAGGGAGACTTGCATGATTGTATCTCTTTTAAAAAAATATGTGTTTGCTTGTTTACGCTGTGTGCTTTTTGTGTTGTGGTGGATGTGGTGTTTTGTGTCAAATATCAGTGTTTCACCACTGCCTAAGCAGATTCAGCCCTAAACCTATTTTTACTCTAGCCAAGGTAAGTATATGAAGTAAACGTTTGTGGAAAGATAATGAACAATGTCCAGCCTGTTGTAGAGACCTCTATGAATGACAGTTTGAAAAAAAGAGCAAATGGCAGGGTCAATATTAAAAAGCAGGTGAGATAAAAAAATATATATATTTCTCAAACATTATTTTTAGGAACCCTAACACTATAAACAGCATTACATTACACATTCATTTGTGACTATTAAAACATATCCATTGTAAGACAACAGGGTAAAAGTTAACACAATTTAAAGTTAATACATGGCATTGTTGCCAAAACCAATTTCTGTCCAGTTTAATTAGGATTAGTGGTTTCATTAAAAAAACATATCAGTCCTATTATAGGCATTAAGGGGTTTAATAAATATGATGTACCAGTCTTGTTTTAATTTTAATTGTTTTCATTGTTTTAATTACAAACATGGTTCACATTTGTCCAAGCCATGCTTGACTTAGCCCAGTGATTCTAGTCCAGAGTTTATCTGATTTAGACCATAAGGAAAGTCGATCGGGACTATTTATGTATTTGGTTAGTCACTTATGTGTCAATTAACAGTTTGTTTTTGTAGTCTTGGTCCATATCATGGTCTAAATTTAACATCCAGATCCAGTGGAAACAAGAAATATCACCTTAAATGTATGATCAAAAGGATTATCTCAGCTTGTCAATCGGATGACCGCCTGATGAACGTCTTGAACTGTGGTTTTTCAAGACTTAGCCTAATTAAAAAAAAATTTCATGCCGCAACAAATATATTGTCTTTAAATAAATGTATTAAATGTCATAAAATGCACTGTAATCGCATAACAATTGAGGTAAAATGACCACACTGCACTCCAAAAGCAACCACTTGTGAAAACAGTGCATTTGTAAATTGTATACAAAGGCACTAAAATGGACTTGATGATCACCAGTTCTTCCAGACTTCTGGCCTTACTACAAATCAGATTCTAAAGTTTGAGAACTCCTGCTTTAGCCATGAGTTTGGTCTGCTCTGTTTCTCTAAACTGCGCCTGTACAAAAGAGAGCTGTCTACAACAGGCTAGATCTTAGTCACTCCACAAAACCCACCTTACCTCTTCTCAGAACTATCCTCCTAGTGATGAATAATGCTTGTAAGTTTTCCTTCAAACCCTCAAGATCCGGGAATAGTTTAGAAAACACAATAATTGTGTATTGTTTGTAAAAACTTAAGTGGTTGTGGTAATTAAATATCACAGATTGTAATTGTTCACATTTTTACCTACAATGCACCCCCTACCCTCATGTTTGTCATTTCAGAGGGAATCCTGAACAATGCCCGGGATACAAGTGTCATGGATACTCTACCACTGAATGGTAACCATGGTAACAGTTACAGCATTGCCAGCGCTGAGTACATGAGTGACTGTGTCCAGATAATCGATCGGGGCTACAACCACAAGGAGACCACCCTGGAAAAGAAGATCCTGAAAGAGCTCACCTCCAATTACATCCCCTCTTACCTCAACAACTCCAACGAGCAGAACCGGAACCTCATGAACAAGCTAGTTAATAATGTCAGCAACGGCGGCAAGGACAACGGTTACGGGATGGGCTTGGGAGTGGGGATAGGGATGAATATTGCTCTGAACCTAGATGATCACTCTACCTTTAGTCCACACCACGATGAAGGCCTGGGTTTGGAGCTCATACGTGAAGAGTCCAATGCCCCTCTGCTGCCACAGAGGCCACTGCCAACCCTGCAGGCAGTGGACAACCTTCACAATCACCTCCACCAGTCCATACCGCCCCCACTTCCATTGTCCCACCACCCCTTCTCTGCTGGTTCTACTTTCTCTTCGTCCCGACGGAGGATCCCGCAGGAGAACAGCGAGAGTTTCTTCCCCTTACTCAACAACGAGCACACCGAGGATGAGGGCTCATCGCCGAGCCACAGCCACCAGAGGGACTCCCTCTACAACAGTATGCCCATGTTGCCTGGCCTGCCCGATGTCTCCACAGGGTCTGCCAACAGCTCCAAGGAGGGCGGGGATGCCAAGAGCCCCGAGGCTAGCTCAGACGACGTTTACTACAAGAGTATGCCCAACTTGGGTTCTCGTAATCACCTCCATCAGCTGCACTCCTACTACCAGCTGGGACGGGGCAGTAGTGATGGCTTCATCGCTCCACCCAACAGAGAGGATCTAACTTCAGAAGAGGCCCACCAGGATCCCTCACACCTGGTCACCAGCCTATAGATCCTGACACTATCCAACACGCCTGAGATCCCTCTGTTCCTCTCAGTCTATTGCTCCATCCTTCGTCGACAGTGGTAACTTTGTTTTTAACGCGTCCTGAAGACTTCAGACAAACAGCTGTACTCTCACTGTCCCTGTCCATAAACCAGTCCATAATCCCACTGAAATGGGGGCTAATGTGACTATAATTGGTTAGACATTCCAATATGTTAATGTGGTGTCCCTCCGCCCAAGCCTTTTCCCTCTTTAAAAACCCTTTGTGGTTTGTTTTGTCTCATTGTGAAGAGAGACAAGTTTGGGACTTTTTAGGGTCTCACAGTGAAAAAGTGACTGGATGCTCCCCAAGTCTGAACTATAGACTGAACCAGAACGAACGGTGAAATTAAAACAAAAAAGGACTATTTTATTATACTTCTGTATCTATACGGACTTTTTGAAATATTTTCTTCCTCTTTGGTGAGTTGCAGCACATTTTGTTTGCTGAAGTGTACCTTCAATAAAAAACGTAAAAACAACAAAGAAAAAAAGTCAGACACACTCACATTTTGGGCAAATATCATGAAGGATCGTATGCTTTCAAGCAGGGTTTTTTTTCTTTTTTAATTTACTGTAATAACATTTGTTAAGAGGGAGAAAAAATAAACTAATGAGAGAATTATTACATTTCTATGTAACTGTACAGATAACTAGCACTGCACATAACGGTTGGCTTTTGTTTGTTGTCCATTTTATCTTTGTTCCCATCAAACCTTTTGTCTGTTGCCGTAGTGATTAGGAACATATTGGTTCTGTTTAACTGGCCTCTGGATTTCTACTACTGGTCTTTGGTTGTATCACCACCTCACCAAATAGAAAAAAAAAAAAGAACTCCATAGAAGCAAAAATAATTCTACAAAATCACACTGATCTGTGATGATATCCCGTTTTGTTTCCTGGTCAGTTTTCTACTCCCGTTTGGTTCCTTAATTCTTTCTTTGTTTTCTGTGTAGATAGCCGAATCACAGAGATTGAATCAGTGTCCCTCAGAAAAGGTTTGATTGTGCGTTTGTATTGACGTTCAGAGAAAATTTCTCAGAAACAGGAAACATTGGACCTTGATGTGCACCAGGCACTTGTACAAAATAAATTAACAAAAGATATAAAAGTGTGTTGTTTTACTTATTAAAGAAAGAGCCTTTTTGGAGTGAGAAAAAACTGGTTTTATTTCCTTTCCTGGGAGAAAATATATTTATTTATTTGTTAAATAAAAAGTAATAGGACAATGGATGGTAGAAAATATAATGGCAAAAAGATTTCCTTTTTTAATTATTATTAAAATTATTATTATTTGCTATGGTCATGGCTTCCTGTTTCTACCCTTTTGCCTCAGATTCCGATTTGAACGGCGGACTTTTGTTGTAACGGTGAAAATTGTTTGCCAACAAATAAATTACTGATAAGGTTCATCACATAGATGTGACAAAGATTCTGGTGTGTTGTCTGTGTTATCTGGGATTGTTTTTATACAGGTAAACGTCAGGATTTCAAAAAAATGGTCACAATCACATATTGTTTTCAGGTAATTTCCCTCGTTAGCACTCTGTCCAGTTTAGTGCCAAGTAAAACTTTCTGGCCCAGCAGCCGTGGATGTGCTCTGTATGCTCTGGTCTGCTTTACAATAGAAACAGTGATTTCATAAGCTGTAATAAATATTTCAATATCATCGCTGGTGTAACCAATGAATTCTTTACAGATCATATTTTTATCTTGACTTTGAGAAGTTATGCAGGAATCGACTGGAGCGTTCAGGCCAGAGGTGAGCGTTCTCTTCTGAAGGTTTATTTTATTGTTTTATGCAGCAAAACAGGAAAATAACTACTAGTTTCTTGGTTTTCCTACAGAAAACATTGTTACAGATGTGCTGTACAGGTGTGAAACTGAACTGACTATGGGAAAAAAATGTTTGGTTCAAATTTTGTGCCGTATTACGTAAGAGGATTAGGGCCGCTGTGAAGAAAAAATAGAAAAAGAATTATGACTTTCATCTCATAATTAAGATGTTTTTCTCAGAATTCTTACTAAAGTCAGAAAAAAGTCAAATTTCTAATATTAAAATCAGCTTTCTTTTTTATTTATTTACATTTTCAGTGGCCCGAATCCTCTTCCATACATTCTACAAATTTTTTTTATTTATTTATTTTTTTATTATCACAATTCATTCAATTACTTTGTTGTTTACATCAGCTCACCAATTTGATTCACACAAACAAATATTAAGGTTTGGAACACTGAAAAAGAAGAGTATTTCTGATTATAATCAATCACTGAGTTTTTCATGCAGGCTGAACATGAAAATAGTCTACACCTATCTGCTGCATCAGCTTCTGATAGAACATAGATGGTGAAACTCTGGGATTAGAAAATTCTGGCAGATCTACGTCACACTGTCAATTGGATTTACCCAGATTGGCTCACGACGAGGAAGGTTGTTTTAGCGTCCAGAATCAGCAGATAATGTCTCGGCTAGCAGAAGCTAACCGTTAGCATTAGCAACATAACCACACAGCATCAATATCGCAAAGCAGATTTAGTGGTAGAGTTACGTTGCTGTCGTCCAGTCCGTGAAAAGATGTCCAAATATCAGGAAATAAGACCCCAAATTCTGCCGTGTTAAGCTCCGATGTCCCAGAGTTGTCCCCTTTGAGCCAGGTGTTTGTGGGGTTTTTTGCACCCTGAGTTATGCCTGCAAGGTATTCATTCCTGCTAGAGACCACTTCAAATGTATTGATTAAACAAGTAAACCACACATTTAGATATTGCAACAACCCTATTTGTCTAAAATTACTATGCATACCATGCTATGAAATTCAGGAAAGTGAATCCGTTTTGAGAGAGCAGCAATAGACTTTGATCAGTACTTTGAGTAGCTTGTAGCAATCCAGCTGTGACAGACTTGAACTCTTAATTTTCTGAACCAATACTTTTAAGAAAGCAGCTAGAGGAAAGAACTATACATGACTTTTATACAGAAAAGTCTTTTAAATGTTCCCTGATAAGCTGATTGAACCTTTCAGCAGAGACATGAACGCATTTCTTCTTTTCTTTTAACAACAAAACTGTATTTCCTGAATCCTGAACACCAAGTTAAAACTTTACATATCTTTGGATGAACGGATTTACAGGTGAAACTCCAAAAAAGGGGAATATGGTGCAAAAGTATGTTTATTTCATTACTGAACTCAAGACTGAGAGACCATCTAAAGCCTGTAAGGCCAGTATCCAGTACGTTTTAGTGGAACCCCTGCTTCAACACACCTGATTTTAATCAGCAGGTGATTAACAGGCTTCTACAGAGCCTGAGGAGCTGCTGCACAGGTGATTCAACCAACTGAATCAAGTGATTCGGAGCACAGAAACAACTAAACATGCTGGATACCGGCCCTCCAGGATCAGAATTGAATAGTTCTGATATAAAGGCTCAGGAACCCTTTGCAGGTGTTCTGGATTCATTTGCTGATTGGAGTGTGACACTTTGCGTCTAGAATATTGGACCTTTTCACAATATAGATTTCTTTATAAGCTAAGCCATCCTCGTCACAATTATAACAAATAAAGACTTGAAATATCTGCCTTTATATTGAATGAGCCTATCTTATATATTAGTTTCACGTTTTAGGTTGAATTACTGACATAAATACATTTTTGCATCCTATTCTAATTTCTCCAGTTTGCCCTGTATGCTGACGTTGTTCCAGCTATTTTAGGTCAATTGTCTCACAACCTTAAATGCTCCAGCATTTTCCTCAGTGCTGCACCAACAGCCTCCTCCATCCACACTGTGCTGAAGAGACAACTTCTGACACCATCTTTTACGAAGAGCTCCGCTGTAGCTCAGAGGCTGAGATGAGACCAGGATGTCAGGTGGCATGAATCAGAAAACCCTTCCTTTGCCTTTTCTTTCTCTGACTCACCAGATGGTCATTTTTTGACTTGCATTCTCACTCCCCTTCAGCTTGCTGTGTGTTACCTGTTTTCTAACTGTTCAGAATAAAACATGCGTTGAACTGCATCCACACAACATGCTCTTAAAAAGTAGACTGTGATCCTCAGCTGCTTTTTAGTCACATCCCACCCTCACCACGCCACTTACTGCCATAAATGGTAAATGCAAAGTGCCTTGTGGACCTCATGCATATACATAAGTCGGCTTGTTGCAACATTTTGATCATGACCGCAGATCAAGGAAGCGCTATTTCACAAGCAGAAATTCGGATACTTGTGGGTGAGGTGGAGAAATGAAAGGAAGTGCTTTTGCAAAACAAATAAGAGAAAATCCACGGAGTGGCACAGCGTTGCTGAAGCCGTCAATGCTGAGTTCTTCAGAGAGATCTGTGGCGGATATAAAAAAAATTATCCAATCGGGATTTGAACCCCCAGACCCCCAGGAGAATGTCACGCGCACTGAACAGTCAGCCAAACAGAGATCTCCCTTGTCCAAGTAGGCAGGGCATATGATCAATCGGGTCACAGTGACAGGACACACACACTGTCACAGACGCATGACATTCTGTCTCAATCTGTCCCCCTGCTGATTTTCTGCATTCTGTATTCTGCACTTCAGGCTGTGTGTGTGTGCGTGTGGGGGGTCTTGTTCTGTGTGAAAATGAAGCAGTACAAGTGATAATGCTGCAGGATTTCATATTTGTATCCTTCTCAGCAGCAGCACTGCAGGTGCTCTCCATGTCTAAAATGTGTGTAAGCCAGGACCTTAGTCAACTTAAAGTTGCACACATTTTTCCACTAAGTTTTCTTTCATAAATCCCAAAGTTTGCATGGAAAGTTGCTTACACAGTTTTCTGACCCCGTTTTGTGCGTAAGCTAGCTTGATAAATGAGGCCCCATATTTTTAAAGCAGGGTTCTTTGGAAAAGTTTGGAAAAAACAGCTCTTTAAAGACCTTCACAATCACCTTCACTGAGAAATTGTTTCTTACACTTTTTAAAATATGATCAGTCACTCCCGAGTTCACCATGCAGGCTAAAAGGGAAAATTGTCTAGAAAATAGTTGGCGAAACATTCGGATTAGAAAAGCTGGTGACATTAACACGTCATAATGTCAAGTTAGCATTCATGTGCTCACCCATTTTGGCTCACAATGGGGAAGACTGTTGTTGATGCCAGAAAAAATTGACTCACAAGGCATTTATTGATACATGAGATCACTGTCTTCAAAGTGTTGAAAAAAACAAGTGAACTTGGTCTTTAAACGTTGTGAGTGCATATACATAAAATTGTGTGGTTCAAATAACACCATCAGTGTACTTGTATTGTTATAGAACTACTTTCGCCTTTTACTATATTAAATACCCCTGTATAGCTGCTTGTAACACAAAAATCTAATCATCCAGTCACATGGCAGCATCTCAATCAGAGTTAGAAAAATGCTTTCCAGTCTGATGAGTCTTGATTTAACCTGCAACATTGAGATGGTCAGGTCAGAATTTGGCGTAAACCCAAGTGCATGGATCCCTCCTGCCTTGTATCAATGGTCCAGGCTGCTGGTGGTGGGTCTTTCTGTGGAGGATAGTTTTATACCAACTGAGCCTTTGGCTAATGCAAATGGTGCATCATCCATGGTGGAAGTAGCCATCAGAGGATGGGTCTGCTGTAGTCTTAAAGGGAGGTACATGGTCAGCAACAATACTCAGTATGGCTGTGGTGTTGAAACCAAGTTGTACCAACTGAAGGCAAAAACATTTGTTTTAAACACCACAGCCAGCCCGAGTGTTGTCTCTGACCATGTCCATCCCTTGAAGACCAAATGGACCCATCTTCTGATGGCTACCAGCAGGATAAAGCACCATGTCACAAAGGTCAGATAATCTCTAACTGGTTTCTAGAGCAAAACGATGAGTTTGCTGGACTCCAACAACCTCCATATTCACCAGATCTCAGTCTAGTCTAGAACCTCTGGGATGTTATGGAACGAGAGATTCTCATCCTGGATTGAACTGTGTGATGATGTCATGTCAATGTGGAACAGAGCACCTTGGGGCAGCCCAGCACTCAGCATTAAGGGATTTCCAAAGGGTCTAATTAAGGTAGTGTACTTCTGAGTGAGTTTACATTAGAATCACTTCCGTTTCTGTAAGAAAATTGCTTTTATTGAGCCAACTCTTCTTTCCCTGCCATTAGACTTGGGTGATATCTAAATTTGAATAACGTCTAGCTTCCTCCACATTTGACCATGGTGTACGGTATTAGCGGGACCCATTTTAAAATGATGACATAAGCCTCAAATGGAATTACCACACTGTTGGACCTTAACTAACAAACACTATTACTCAAACAACAACACACATAATATTAACTACTTAATAATAACACAGCTTATAAAAATATTTTTTGCCTGAAAAAGCTTGCAAATTTACCTTTTCCGGCTTTAACCTAGGATGTTGTGGACCTACTGCTGAAAACCCACTTCAATGAGCTTGTGGCACCAACATATGGATACCATGGGGGTAGTCGTGACATCTAGCGAAGGCTGGCTTCATATTTCCACCAGAAAAGCGTGTTGTAGTCTCTTTTAATCACAGGCTCCAGACAGAAGTGTGCTATTTCAGTGACGGCTCGCTCCTCTGCTGTGTAGATGGGGCATGCATATTTTGTTGTCAACTTTTGTTTACACAAATAACCTCATCAGTGTTTACCGGCTCTCCTTTTA